ATCTTGGGTCACTGCAACCTCCAACTTCCAGGCTCAAGTGATCCTCCCACCTCAGCCTCCACCTGGCTAATTTTTTAATGTTTTGTAAGAGATGGGGTCTTGCCATGTTGCCCAGGCTGCTCTTGAACTCCTGGGCTCAAGCGATCTGACTACCTTGGCCTCCCAAGTGTTGGGATTACAGGTGTGAGCCACTGCACCCCCTTTGGGTTGTAAATTAAAATAGTATGTGTATGTACGGGTCAGTGTCTGGGCTTTCTGTTGTGTCCTTTTGGTTCCTGAACAATACTGATTATTTTAGTTGCTATAGCTTTATAATAAGTCTTGGCCTCTGGTAGGGCAGATCTTTTAACCAGTCCTTTTTCTTCAAAAGTACCCTGCCTATTCTTTGCCTTTGTTCTTTCAAATGAGATTTAGGCTGAAGTTGTCATGTTCCAAGAAAAACTTTGGTGAAATTTTGATTAAGTGTTCATTGAATCTAGAAATGAATTGGAAAATTAACAATTTTGAAATATTGAGGCCAGGCACGGCTGCTCATGCCTGTAATCCCAGCATTTTGGGAAGGCGAGGCAGGTGAATCACCTGAGGTCAGGAGTTTGAGACCAGCCTGGCCAACATGGTGAAACCCTATCGCTACTACAAATACAAAAATTAGCCTGGTGTGATTGCATGCACCTGTAATCCCAGTGACTCAGGAGGCTGAGGCAGGAGAATCACTTGAACCTGGGAGGCGGAGGTTGCAGTGAGTTGAGATCATGCCATTGCACTCTAGCCTGTGAGACAAGAGCAAAACTCCATCAACAACAACAACTTCTCAACAACAACAACAACAACAAAACAACAAATTACCACTTAAATAAAAAGATTTGTAAAGTATAAGTAAGATAGCATCACTATTTATTTCTTTACTTTTTATCAGGTTGATCTACTGATTATTAAGAGAGAAATTAGTTTTAAAAATCTCCCCCATGAGAGTGGATTTTTCAATTTCTTCTAGTTCTGTCAAAGTTTGCTTTGCTATATAGATTTTGAAGATATATTGTTAGGTACATTCAATTTCAAAAGGATATCTTGTGAACTGAGCTTTTTATTGTCAGGCAGTAACCCTCTTTATCTCTAATAATAGTTGCTGCATTAGAGTCTCCTTTATCAGATATGACTGGAGTTATACTGGTCATGTTTGGTGATATTCCATGATGCTAGAATAAGTAGGCTCAAGTTAAGAGCTGCCGAGATCATGCCACTGCGCTCCAGCCTGGATGACAGGGTGAGACTCCAACTCCGTCTCAGACAAACAAACAAACAAACAAAACCATCCAGGTTCCAAACCTAAAGTGTAGGGTGTGGCACATGTTCTCAGGGCAAAAGCTGGTTGTCCCAATTGCTTACCTCCCAGGGTTTTTTTGTTTCTAGTTGTTTTTGGTCTTTGAAAAATTTCTGCTGCCCTGCTAGCTTGGTGATTCATTTAAAAAAATATTTTTTGTTATTTTGTCTGACCTTTTAAGCTATTTTCATTGGGAATGCCATTCCAGCGCTCTTATAAAATAAAAAATGAGTCTCTCAATTGTGTCTTTCTTTTACCTACTAAAAAAAAACCTACTGAAATTAGATTTTGTTGGTTGTGATTTTTATCTTGCTTATTCTGAGAATTTTTAAATTAAAAGATGATTCAGTATAAATCTGATTTTTAAATGCTGCTCTTTCCTACTGAAATAACTAATATTTGTGAACCAAAAGCCTGATTTAGAATTCTCTTCATTGCTTTATACTGTAAACCAAGAAGTATCTGAGACAAGTCTCAATCAATTTAGGGGGTTTGTTTTGCCAAGATTAAGGACACACCCATGACACAGCCTCAGGAGATCCTGATGACAACATGTGCCCAAGGTGGTTGGAGCACATCTTGGTGGTTATCTATACATTTTAGGGAGACATGGGACATCAATCAATATATGTGAAATGGCTGTTGGCCAGTTAGCTCAGTTGATTAGAGTGTGATGCTAATGACACCAGGGTTGCGGGTTCAGTCCCCTTACAGGTTAATTGTTTTGGCCGGGCATGGTGGTGCATGCCTGTAGTTTCAGCTACTTGGGAGGCTGAGGCGGGAGAATTGCTTGAACTTAAAGGGTGGTGGTTGCAGTGAACTGAGATTGCACCACTGCACTCCAGCCTGGGTGACAGAGTGAGACTCCATCTCAAAAAAAAAAAAATAATTAAATAGCTAAAATGTCCATTGGTTCAGTCCAGAAAGACGGGACAACTCAAAGCGGGGGAGGAGGCTTCCAGGTCATCGTAGATACAAGACATTCCTCCTGGTTTCCAATTAGCCTTTCACTGAATATACAATTTACAGGAATAGTGTTACTTATGCTGTAGTCTGGTTTAGTGAAACAATTAGGCCAAGGAAGCAATCAGATATACATTTGTCTCAGGTGAGCAGGGGGATGATTTTTGAGTTCTGTCTGTCCTTTGCCCACAGGAATTTCCTTGTAGGCAAATTGTGAGGGAGGTATGTAGTTTTTTAATCTTTTAATTCCTTGTAGGCAAATTGTGAGGGAGGTATGTAGTTTTTTAATCTTTTAATTCCTTGTAGGCAAATTGTGAGGGAGGTATGTAGCTTTTTAATCTCACTTAGAAATAGATTGGGAGGGCCCGGTGCGGTGGCTCACGCCTGTAATCCCAGCACTTTGGGAGGCTGAGGCGGGTGGATCACCTGAGGTTGGGAGTTCGAGACCAGCCTGACCAACATGGAGAAACCCCGTGTCTACTAAAAATATAAAATTAGCCAGGCGTGGTGGCACATGCCTGTAATCCCAGCTACTCGGGAGGCTGAGGCAGGAGAATTGCTTGAACCCAGGAGGCGGAGGTTGTGGTGAATGGAGATTGCACCATTGCACTCTAGCCTGGGCAACAAGAGTGAAACTCCATCTCCAAAATAAAAAAACAAAAAACCACACACACAGGAATAGATTGGGAGGCAGATTTGCCCTATGTGATTCCCAGCTTGACTTTTCCCTTTAGTTTAGTGATTTTGGGGTTCTGAGATTTATTGTCCTTTCACAATACTTTTATACTTTGTTGTAGTTTTTTGTATACTTTGTATACTCTGAAATTAAGATGTTAGGGTGAGGAGGCATTTTTATAATAGTGTTTTTAAAATAATTTTTCTTTTCCATTCAACTTGAAACAATGAAAATACTTTAAATTACTTCTCGAAAGAACTCTGAATTCACAAAATTAACCACTCCTTTTGTTTGTTACAGTTTCCAATCTGAGTATACCTACATAAATGTTTGATTCAGTTACCAGTTGTTCGCTCTGCATCATTGAGCCAATTATTTAGCTTTTCTGTGCCTTAATCATTTCTTCTTATGTAAAATGGAAATATGATAGTACTAACCACCTGATGTCATGGCTAGGATTAAATAACTAGTGCATGTAAAGACTTTTACATGGTGCCTGGCACAAGATAATCATGGAATAACTGGTAGCTGCTGCTGCTGTTACTATTTTCAGCTTCAGAATCAAAACAACTCATACATTATTCTGCATTTTTCAGGTATGTGCCAGTCAAAGATCTACTGGGAATTTATGAGAAACTCTATGGTCGAGAAGTCATCACTGAAAATGTAATTGTTGATTGTTCACATATCCAGTTCTTAGAAATGTAAGTGTAACTCGGAGGACAATTTGCAGCTGATTTTGTTGTGACTTCCTTAGCACAGTTTTTATGTTTTTGTTTCCTGAGACTGGATTTCGGATTTATGGATTCTACCTATTATTCAAAGGCAGTTGCAGGACAGTGGATAAGGACGGATGGAACTTTTTCTTCGTTATTTGCTTCATTTCTCTGTTAGAAACTGCAACTCACAGCCAAAATTATTGTTTATGTTGCAGGTATGGTGAGATGCTAGCTGTTTCCAAGGTAAAGTCTTCATTCTTCCCAATCTTAAAGGATTATAAAGATAGCAGGAATAGTACCATATGTATTTTATTTTTTCTTTCTCTCTGCCATAGTTATATCCCTCTTACTCTACAAAGTCCCCGTTTTTGGTGGAACAATTCCAAGAGTATTTTCTTGGAGGACTGGATGATATGGCGTTTTGGTCCACTAATATTTACCATCTAACAAGCTTCATGTTGGAGAATGGGACCAGGTGAAATTATATTCCATTTCTGTTACCAATCAGTCCCGGCCTTTTTACCCCATCCCCCAACATAACTCTCGAGTTTTTCAACTGATCACATACAAACAAAACAAAATAATCTCATGAAGTGCTTTCTTAACCTATTCAAAGAGGTAAAGAATGGAAACTCAGTAATCTTATGAACCCAGCTGGTTTCCATCCAGTTGGCTTGGTTGATGCCACTTGGGTTTTAGAAATAGAGAGACAGTTATTGCAAAATTTGGGGTCTGTGAGAAATGGCTCAGCCAGGCAGGAATCAGTCTCCATAGGTGTGCTCCATTTGTTTCTTTCTTTTTATTTTGAGACAGTCTTGCTCTGTTGCTCAGGTTGGAGTACAGTGGCACGATCTTGGCTCACCGCAGCCTCTGCCTCCCAGATTCAAGGGAGTCTTGTGCCTCAGCCTCCTAATCAGCCGGGACTGCAGGTGTGCACCACCATCCCTGCCTAAGTTTTTT